CCCCAAAACCCCAAAACCCCAAAACCCCAAAACCCCTGCCAAGGTTTTAACAATTGTAAAATTAAAGTATTAAAAATGATCAGTGATCTATACATCCTTTTCAAACTAGTCACTGTCTTCTTCTCATTTGTGTCTGTATGTCTCATACTTACAGGAATGTTCTTATGCTTCACAAATTTCAGGAAGAGGATCCTCATGAATCAGGTGTTTGAATCCAAGAAAATTATTGGGTTCTACCACCCATATACTAATGCTTGTGGTGGAGGAGAGAAAGTTCTTTTCTTAGCCCTAAAAGCTATCTCAGTCATGGCAAAAAGAACTAAATCCAAAATTGTAATCTACACTGTTGAAGACCAAGATGCCGAAGAGATAGTGCAAAGAGCAGCAGAGAGATTTAACTTTAAGGTAGATTTTGAGTTCAAGCTGGTGAGAATCACAAGAAGATATTTTACCGACCAACACTCTGTAGTCAAGCTTTCTTTACTAAATCAAGCTATTGGCAATATTGTTTCAGTCATTGAAGCGATTACTACTTGCCCGCCTGACATATTCGTAGATACGATAGGTGTAGGATTTGGATATCCTTTTGTGAAACTTTTTTCCCCTTCGACTAAGGTTGTTTCCTATACCCACTATCCTTTTATTCAGAAAGATATGATAAGCCCTGAACTTCCGAGATACAAGTTCTTCTACTATAACTTAATGCTTTGGCTTTATAAGACAGTTGGATATTCTGCAGATGTGATTATGGCAAATTCTACATGGACTCAGAAACATTGTAAGAGTTTATGGGGAGATACTGATAAAATTAAGAGAGTTTACCCTCCATGAAACACCACTGCATTCAGTAAAATTCCCTTCGATACTGCGAAGAAGGATAATATTGTGTCTTTCTCTCAGTTCAGGCCTGAGAAGGACCAGTCTGGTCAGCTCAAAGCCTTCTATGAGCTTTTAGAAGCGCATAAAGAGATCTCTCCTCACTTCTACATGATAGGAAGCTGCAGAGGAGCAGAAGATGAGAAGCTTCTAGCAAGCCTGCAAGAAGAAGCTAAAGAACTTGGAATCGACCAGAAAGTCACTTTCCTCAAAAACCTTCCCCAGCAAGAAGTTATAGACATCATGGCTGAAGCCAAGGTGGCTATTCATACTATGTGGAACGAGCACTTTGGAATCAGCATCGTTGAGATGATGGCCGCAGGCCTCATCACAATTGCTCATAATAGTGGAGGTCCTAAAGCTGATATCATCCTCGAAGAAGGCAAAAGAGGATACTTAAGCGAGACACCTAAAGAATTTGCCACTGCGATGCAACTCGCTCTTCAGACTTATAACACCGCAGTCGGAAAGTCGATCAGAAATACAGCAAGAAAAGCTGCAATTGAACAGTTTAGTGATGAAGCATTTATGGAAAATTTCTCTAAATGTTTCTCTGAGGTACTCCCTCAAGACTAATTCTTGTTAAATTCCAAATTCCCCTATATAACTATGTCCAAAATCAGCTCTGCTATTTAATAACCCTCTTTTCAAATTAAGTAGAAAGCCAAGATCCTCTGATCTCTCTTAAACTATCTTTCCTCAATTATCAGGATCTCCAGTGAGTTTACAAGTGTTTTCAATAAATCCCTGAAGTCCAGGGGTTTTGGGGTTTTGGGGTTTTGGGGTTTTGGGG